CCCGGCTTTTATAAAGACATAATTGTTCAGTGTATAAAAATAAAAATAAAAAAAGAGCAAACACAGAAAGGGAAAAAGGAAAGAAGAAACCTACTATTATTTTTTGTCTTCTGTGCATGTCGAGAGTAGTAGAGTGAGGCCCGTGGTCACGGTTTGTTTAGAAAGCATGAACCTAGCCACGAGCTGAGGCTGGTTCATGCTTTCACAGCACCACCAGAGGGCCCACTTGCCACAAAGGGCAATTTTTCCGCCCGCAAATAGGGTTGGATTTCATGCCTGAAACTGCACTTGTTTGCGGGAAGTCCAATTATGATATCATAATTGATCTGCTTTTCTGCATCTCTGCGTAAAACACGTCCAGATTCAGGGGCGCAATCCAATCCTCATTGCTACCGCCCTAAGGGCCTCACTCGCTCGACACCACTTGAACTCAAGGGTCGACGGAAAATTCTTCGTTCCACCCCCCTCCCTAATGAACCCCGCCGTAATGTTTTCACTTTCCTGCTCTCAAGTCTGCATACTTGAAACTCAAGTACCGCTGGCCAGGGGTAAAATCACACTGGCCGTAATGTTTTCACTTTCCTGCTCTCAAGTGTGCATACTCGAAACTCAAGTACCGCTGGCCAGGGGCAACATCGCACTTGAACTCAAGGTACCTCTTCCCAGAGATACCTTGAGTTCAAGTGGCAGCGGATATCGCCAGCACTCAAGTGAGGCCTTTTTTTTTCTTTTTTTTTCTCTTTTTCCAGCAGGCGATCCTGGTCTAGGATTGGTCAAGCCGTGCTCTTTTTTTTTCCTTTTTTTTCCTTTTTTTTCCTTTTTTTTCCTTTTTTTTCCTTTTTTTTCCAGCAGGTGATCCTGGTCTAGGATTTGTCAAGCCGTGGAGTTCGATTTCAAGTGTGGCGATCCTGCTCAAGGGTTTCTTCAAGTGTACATACATGGAACCATAACTCGAGAAAGTGTGTGTAAATTAATCACCATTTCTCGTTTAGTGTGCACTTGAAATTCAAGTATTTTCAAGTGGTGTCGAGCGTGGCTCTGAGTACTACCTCATTCTTCCATCTCTTCCCTTTCACATCTCCAATGTGCACACGCGCGTAGTATACGCCCACTGTTCGCGAAACAAAAAAAAAATCAAGGGACAATTTGCAAAATACCCCCACAAGTTAAGATATGTGCCAAAATGCCCCTGAAAGACATGGGTAGAGCAGAATGCCCCTGTGACAAAAAGAAAACTTTGCGAATTACCCCTCTAGTCGGTTGGACCCCCCATCTTTGTGATATACCCCTACCAGGTACCATCCAATTTTGCAAAATACCCAGAACTTGGCAACCTTCCTAAGGCCCAGTTGCACAAGGCCATGCCCTCCAAACAGCGAGGTCCAGATCGCAAATTCGCACATCTGCCTGACAGGGGCATAACACAGATTTCGGCCCGAAAGGGCATTCCGCTCTACCCACATCTTTCAGGGGCATTTTGGCATATATCTCAACTTATGGGGGTATTTCGCAAACTAATCCCAAAAACAAACAAACAGGAATTCCAAAACACAAAGGGCCATAAAAGCCACCTTTACCATCCAGCTTATCTGTGTTGGCACACCCACCAACTGTTGAAATGCAGAGACTTGAGTTCAAATCCAGATGAGAAAAGCCAAAATCATTCATCACTTTACTATCTTCTTTTTTTTGTTTTTTTGGGAACTACCGTAGATGAACGAAATTGTTCAGTTACCGCGACGGCCCACGAGTTGCACTACGATATCTGTCTGAAGACTGTCGCCCTGGGGCACGGTCCCACTAGCACCTGGATTAGCCTTAGCTGTATCCGGGGCACGTGTTTTCCATATTAAAGAGCCTTCAAGAGATAGTTAGAAATAGAGAAAAGAAAAAAGAAATCAGGTTCCATTTCTGCATCTGAGAGGTTTCTTGAAAATGCATCGGGCTGTATTACGGGCCCGGTACCCTACAGTGCTGCGCCAGCCTCTGATGCTGAACTTACCGGCATGGAAAGACGGCGCTTGCCGGTCACATTTTTTCCAATTTCCTTACATTTTTTCCAATTTCCTTACATTTTTATTTACTTTTCTGAGTTATTTTATTCACTTTTCTGAGTTTTTTTCCAGGGAAAGATGACCGCCCTCTACCCAAAAGTAGTGTGCTCTGGAGAGAAGACCCCCCTCGCATGCATTTCCTCTTCTCTTTTCAATGCATGGCCAATGGGGGGGCGGTCCATTTTCATTTGGAAGACATGGAAAAAGTGAAACAAACCAAACAGTTGAAGAAAAAAGCAGAGCCGTCCGCCCCCGCCTAAAATGTTTTACAGAAAACACATGTGCCCCAGATATAGCGGGTGCTACCGTCTTCCCCCGAACACAACGCACCCGGAAATACGACTTGTATACATTCATTTTAAGGGTGTGTTATGTTCGGGGGAAGACGGTAGTGGGACCGTGCCCCTAGATTGATAAAAGAAAGAAAGAAAAACAAAACAAAACAAAAAAAATCCACCTTTCGATCAATGATGACCCATGCCACGTCCTGTCCTGGGGGGCGGCGTGTCAGACTACCGTCTTCGCCCGAATACAACTCCGAATGACTGCATACAGGTAATCTTTCCAGTCCCGTGCAGACAAAAAATGAGGGTGCGTTGTGTTCTCCCGGGGGGGGGGGGGGGGGGGCGGGGGAGGGGGTAGCCAGAATGTGGAATCCGCGGAGAGGTCAAGAAAATCTCGATTCGTCTGCTATTCTGCATCTCTGGGTAAAACTCATCCAGATTCATGCGCCTCATCCAATCCTGTTTGCTACCCTTCTTCCCCCGAATACAACGTACGGTCATTATAGCTGTATTTAGACTGAAAAGATACCACAAAAACTTCTGTCATAATGACCGCGCGTTGTATTCCGGGGAAGTCTGTACGTTGTTTTGGGACCTCGCCTATCCTGTGCCCAACACTGGTTGATTGATTACACGTGACATCGTTCGATTCCGCTGTCTTCTTTTTTTGGGGGGGAGGGTGGAGGAGGCGGGGGGTGTAAATACAGCGCTGTCACATTTTCAGTTCTATATCCACTTCACGCCTCCCTCAAATACAACACATCCCCACCTAACCCTAAAACTGGGTTGGATACATTCATGATTTTCCTCGCTTTCGTCCTCGCTTTGCAGTAAGATGCGTGAAAGCCTGACACAGTGGAACGCATTTATAACTGAACTGAAAACCTTGCTTGCAACCAACGTTTCCCTTCTTTTCTTTTCTTTTTTTAATTTGGACTCGTTCCAATTTTAACGGATGTCCCCTTCTTTTTTTTCCTCCTCTTTTTTTTCACTTCTTTTCTTTTTGCTCCTCTTTTTTTTGGTTGCAAAAAAAATGGACGGTTTCTCGGTTTATGCGCGTAATCTTTTTTTTTTTTTTTTTTTTTTACCCATCTCGACTTATGCGTGTCATCCTTAGTTGCGCAACAACCAAAACTCGGACCCGGCAAATATTTTTGGGGTGAAACTAACGCGACGGGCTGTTTTTGAAACTTGGGGCGTCGCTCCACTACTACCGTGATGCACAAAAGACAAAAATCATGGCGGTGTATCTTTCCATGTTCTAGCGGATGATTCAATCTCGTTTTGCACATTTCGAGCGTAGTGGAGCGAGGCCCTTGGCCAAAAAAGAGGGACGATCTTGTAATTGGGTGAATGGCAATGATGACACCAACGTCTCTTCTCCGCATGTCTAATCGGGATAATTTCAATGAACTGAAAAGAAAAAAAAGAAACAGAAGAAAACAAAACAGAAACAGAAAAGTTTTTTTTTTTTTTTTCTAAGGCCTGTCGCACATTGCACTGTAGATGGAACACCAGACACGTTGTGATGGTCGCACACCGTTTGATCCTGACAGATAGCTCTCGACCTTTTTTTTGTTTTTTTTCTCTTTTTTTAATTGTTGCTCTCGACCATTCTAATCCGTTGATGGAGATCGTAATTAAGACATCGGGAGCGTTTGGATGAGGTGATCGCGTGACTCTCTCTCTCTCTCTCTCTCTCTCTCTCTCTCCGTAAGCATGTGTGTCTGAGAAAATGTCAGTCTCTCCATACATGTATGTATATGAAAAGATCAATCTATCAGCCACGTAGTCGATTCAACATTCACGATAATCACAGAACTCTCTCTCTCTCTTTCTCTCTCTCTCGGCCTCTCTCTCTCGGCCTCTCTCTATCTGATCATTTCGAGAGGTTTATGCCAGTAGTCCAAATACTGGACAAGAGCGAAAGAGAATACCATTTTGGGGGTTGAAAGTCTGCCTTACGGGTACGTCATGCACGCAGACAAACAAAAGAGAGAGAGAAAGAGAGAGAGAGACAGAGACAGAGACAGAGACAGACAGAGAGACCATGCGTGTGTGTGTGTGTGTGTGTGTGTGTGAGAGAGAGAGAGAGAGCAGACACCATAGATTGCTGGATTGGCGAGGTAGAGAGAGAGTAGACGATTGATGGGATCATGAACAGGATTGAATCGAGATGGGGAGACGACGCGGTCCCAATCACTGTTCACTGAGAGTTGAAAGATCCTTGTCGGAATTAGGATACAGATTATCTGCTGATTATTGTTGGGAGATCCTTACCTGAATCAGGATATGGACTTATCTGATTATCTATTCTTCTTTGAATTATGAGATATTATAATAATAATAGACAGAGCGGCCTAGGCCCGATAATGGAAGTAGGGTCCAACGCGCCAGAAACTGCACTGAAACTTCAATTTCTCTCAGGCACCGTTGCTCTAATTTTCCTTATAGGTTATGCGCCTCGCCGCATCACTCAGCAAACGTGCAAAATGAGAATGAACATTCCCCTATAACGTGGAAAGATACGTGCTGATAATTTCTGTCCTTTGAGCATATGGTCAGTCGTGCGATCAGGCTCTGTGTATGTGGCCAGGAAGCCATAGCGGAGTAGGTGAGATTGATGTGAGATTAGATCGTGTTTTCTTTTTTTTTTTTTTCTCTTTTTTATTTCGTTTGATTTGGGATCTGCGTTAATTGAGGCAAATCGGATCACGGACGGATATAGCTCGCAAGAAGGTAAGAAACTTCGCCAGAAACTTCGCCAGAAACTTCGTCAGAAACTTCGTCAGAAACTTCGTCAGACGTCAGAAACTTCGCCAGAGTCAGAAACTTCGCCAGAGTCAGAAACTTCGACAGAGTCAGAAACTTCGTCAGAGTCAGAAACTTCGCCAGAAACTTCGTCAGAAACCTCGTCAGGACAGAAACTTCGTCAGACGCCAGAAACTTCGCCAGAATCAGAAACTTCGCCTGAAACTTCGCCTGAACCTGAAACTTCGTCCAGAAACTTCGTCAGTCAGAAATTTCGTCAGAAACTTCCTCAGAAACTTCGCCAGAACGCGAGAAAGTTCAATGAAATCTATGTGAACGCTCACTCGTAGCGGTTCTTCAGTTTTCCTCAGGTTAAGCATCCGGAAGGAAGGCATGGTGAGAGAGGGGGGAGGGGGAGGGGATTAATGTGAAACTTGATTAATTAAGCTGTTGCCAGTACAAGGCCTAAGCCTTGCAAGAATTTCTTGATGACCTACTTCTAAAATCTCGGAGGCTCGGAGATTCAGCCAAAAGAGGAAAAAAGGTGCACAATGGCTGGCGGCTTCAGCCAAAAAAGGAAAAAAGTGCACGGCTGGTAGTTCGGCAAGGCTTGGCGCGCAATGCGACGCCGCCAGGCCCGGGTGTGCTGGTGATTTAAGGCAGATGGGAAGATGGAGATAGCTCGGCAAGGCAGCATCTCTCTCTCTCTCTCTCTCTCTCCGTGTGTGCGTAGAAATATGAACCTTCTGAACTCGCGGCATCATCTCCATCGCTGGCACTCCGGAAAAGCGGGAAATTGCATCTCAGCAGAATACTGAACCTGCCACCAAGGACCCCGCCGAGGCGCCCCATCGCCACCACAAGCAGCATTTTTCATCTATGCAGATAAATAATATATATATATACAAGCATAGATTTAGTGTTTTTCAAGAAAATACTTGAAATAGAATCTACTTTGGAGGTTGATCGTGACCCCAGGTGCCTTCAGCTCTTGACCAGAATAACGTCCTCCCCAGGCCTCCCCGCCAAAGAGCTGAAGGCGCAAGCCACTTAAAAACCCTAAGGGGTGACGATCAACCTTAAAGAGCAAGCCACTTAAAAACCCTAAAAGGAGGGATGACGTGATGATTCACGATTCCTGTACACGTGGCCTGTGACAGCTCGTCGTAATCAGCCACTAGCTCGTCGTAATCAGCCACTTAAAAACAAAATGCCACGTGTACTAGAAATGTGCCCACCATAACAGGCAAGCCGAAATTTCGAAGAAATTTCACGGAAATTTCCAAAAAAACAAGAAGAAGAAAAGAAGGCAAAGCGGAAAGATACGGATTGACATGGATCGCGGCTTCAGCAGGCTTCAGAAGTGCAATTTGCTCTCTTTTCAAGCCTCGTTTCTTCTGGTTTACCTCCTATGGCAGTCCTCTCTCTCTCTCTCTCTCTCTCTCTCTCTCTCTCTCTCTCTCTCTCTCTCTCTCTCTCTCTC